GGGGGCAGGGCCTGGCCTTTATAAACAGAGAAGGCTGAAGCCAGAGCAGTTCCCCCCTGGCAGCTGGAACAGCAGGAGGTTCTGCTCCAGGGCTGGGCTGAGCTCTGTGGGCCCAGCAAGGAAGCCGGATGGCTTAAGCGGTGTTGGCATGGTGATATGGGGTGGAGAGAACCCTGGCAGGGATACAGATGAAGGATAGCCAGGTTGGCTTAGGTTTTATGTTATAGCCAGTTGGCTCATGGCTTTGTGTTTTCCATTTTGTTATTGTTACACTGGAGGACTGGGTGAGGCTGTAGGGGTGTGAGGAGGCCTCATGGGAGCTTCCCAGGAGTCTGGGGGTGTTCCTGAGTGCCCTGTTCAGGCACAGCAAGCAGTGCCAGAGAAGGCACAGCAGTTTGGCGCTGGAGAGGGCGCAGCAGTGTTAGGAGGTGCATTGGCCCCAGTCCAGAAGCCCTGGAGTGAGAGGGGGCAGCAGTGAGAAGCCCTGGAACCAGAAGGGGTCTGGGGCTAGGTGAGGCTGAGGCTGCCTGAGCCCCGATTGTGGGGAAGCGTGAGTAAAGGCCCAGCGCGGGGAGCGTGAACATAGGCCTGAGTGTGGGTGGAGAGTGAGGCACAGGCCCTGGTTGGGGCAAGAGTGTGGGGAGCGTGAGCTAGGCTGCAGAGCGGGTGACAAGTGCGGGAGACAGGCCACAGTGCGGGTGATGGGAGGACTTACTGGTAGCCCCTAAGGCTAGAGTGCACCGAGGCAACGGGACAGATCATTAACTAAGTTACATCAAGGCACCGTGTCAGAGCAGATAGGAAAGGCAGCCTCCCCTAAACATTTTAAACATCAAAGACGTGGCGGGCGAGATTGGTGAGGGTGCATTTTGACACCAGCTAGACACAGTAGCCAGGGGGCGCTAGGGGAGTTCATGGCACCCCTAGGGCATCCTGTCACAGGCCCCTACATATAACCCTATTCCAACCTGCTTCAGTCCCTGAAAAACTGGTAACATGTCTTGTATGTGCAAGTGTCGTCATCTTTGCCTTAGGACTGAGTCATAAGCAGCAGTGAAGAAGAGGAAGACCCTCCACCAACCATTTATATTAATGTTTTTTGTGGACTCAAGCAGGGTGGAATAGGATTGAACTTAGGTGTCTGGTAGGCAGAATAGGATCTGTCTTGTCTTTTTGCAAGGGATGGAATGAGATATAGACAAAGGATTCCCTATTCAAGTGAAAGGGGGATTTTGTAATATGCCAGGGCATAGGCACACCAAGGGAGCTATGTCTCCTCAAGAGACTTGATCTTGGTGCTTTTGCACAGCAAAAAGAACCTTGTGGGCACCTATACACAGACTGCTCCAACATGTGCTAATTGGCTTAATCAAGTCTGCTGGAGCATGCTAATTAACGCATTCCAGCAGCCTCTGCAGCACATCTGTTCAGAGTCCCCACACTTGAAAATGGCGGTGGGGGTGCTTAAAACTAAAACTCATGGAACGAGCTTTAGTCCAAGTGCCCCTGCTGCCATTTTGAAGTGCGGGGCACTGAATACACATGATGCTGCGGGCACTTTAATTAGAGCAGCTCTCAGAGCCGCTCTAATTAAAACATCCCCCCACCCCAGAGCACATGTATAGATGCCCTGTGTTCTCTCCTACTACAGCATGAAGAGTGAACATCACACCCACAACTCATTATGCATGATTTGAGTTCCCCATGTGGTAACATGGGACGAACTGACTGTACCAAACATCAAGCAAACCTTCTTAAAAAAAGCCCTTCTGTTTGTGGTAGTCCTTCTGAGCACTAAAAAGGAAAGGGCCAAGATAAAAAGATAGGAGGGAATCGAATGAAGTATAATATGGTTAGAGGGATTTGCTCTCTAAATACTACTGCTTAAAGACAGCCAAAGTAACTCTTCTATTGTATAAATGGCATCTATTCTGTTTGCCTTGTAGATAATCTAGTGTATCACTTTATAATCAAGTTACTTGGGTAATGCAGCAGTGATTTAGATAAGAATGTGTTTATACAACCAAGTCTGTTGAATAATGAAATTACAATGAGCTTTCTGCTTGTGTCACATCTGTGTGAGTAGCTGGCTTCTTGTGGTTGAGTACATGCTTGTCTTGATAAGGGGTAAGGCACTGTTAGATTGTTTTTTCAATGCATTGCTTTTATTGCCCCCTTCCCTAAAGAGGGTCCAATGAGCCTTGCACAGCTAGCAGATTGGTATATGACCTGTAAGACTATATGAAATGCCATTACAAGCAAAAACAAGGCCCACACTGCCATATCAGCATCTGCAGTGCCTCATCAAGTATTTATCAGACCATTTGAAAATTTCCACAGGCCTTTAGCATTATTCCACTGCCAGAATTTGCTTCTTATAACCTGGCATGAAAGAACCAAGCAGCCCATAAGGTGACTGGTGGCTGAAACAGGAGGAGGTCTTATCAAAGCTCTGCTTTCTACGTTAAAGGTCATGCCTTTGAGTGGATGATTTCTAGTAGGAAATGTAACATTATGGGAATTCATACACTTTCTCTTTCAAGCCTTCCTTCTTTCTCCATGTCCTATCAATGTTTGGTGATGATAGGAGAACAGGTATGTTCTGCCATGGTGCACTGCACATCTGAGGAACACTGATTTGAAGCATGTGAAACATGCAGCTAGAGGTGTTACACTAGGAGGCTTCCTTCCATTTTTGTCTGGGTAAAGCTGGGAGTGATTCAGAAGCCACATGCGAACACCCAGGACTTTGAGAAAAGTTAGATTTACACTCAGTGTCATAATCCACACCTGGTCCTACAAGGGACCAAACCAAAACTCTAGGAAATTAACTTCAATTGGACCTCAAATCTTCAAGTATACTTCAAGGAGTCTTTTTTTAGAAAAAGAAGACCCCATTGTAATTTTTTTTTTTTTTAAATGGGACAGGGTAGGGGCAGAAGAAAATCAAATAGCTCTTCTACTTCGAGCTAAAATGTGTCTCTGTTTTGCTTCATTTATTATGTGGATGGAAGATCCTGTCAACCCAGAAATAATGCCAAGTGTTTACACTTTAATGGAACCCAGGGACCAATTAACAATACAGAAAACCACCAGGCAGAGTATTTCTTAATGTAACAGGAGGGAAATCTTACATTATTGCTTTCCCCCCTTTCTTAAAACAATGAGCAAGTGCTTTGTCAATGATTTCTCAGTAGTAATCTTTATTATCTTAAAGTTCTACCACTCCCCACTTATCAAAAGGCTTCCGGACATGACGCAGCCACAAAATCCTTTTTCTTTCATTGCAGAGAATATGCCAAAATGACTTTAAGTTCTGATCTTCAGCTTGGGGATGTCAGAATCTCCCCTCTACTCCCAGTTCCTTTACTGCTGACTTCTGAATGGCTTGATGAACATTGTGCACCTCTTCCTGACTCAAAGTCCTCTCGAAGTGACGGTAGGTGATGCGATAGCAATGGCTGACCTTCTTTGTCCTAGAAAACATAAATCAAAGGAGGACTAATCAAAATAGGTGCAAATAGACATTTCACTCCAGAGGTAAAGGCTTCCTCATCAGGACATTGTTTCTTTTGCTAGTTATTTAAATTATCACTGGGCATGTCTACACAAGATGCTATGTCACCGTAGCAATGAGTTACATTGCCGTAGCTCATCGCTACAGTGCTATAGCATCTAAAAATAACCGTGCACTGCCAGGATAGCGCAGTACCAAATGCACAGTCAGGGCCACGTGTAGATGTGCCCACTGTAATGCTACAATACACAATGCAGAGGTGGTGGGTAATTTAAATTTAAATTTTTTCTTTTTTCTCTCTCATCACAACATGCTTAACAAAAAAAGAACAACTCCTTTCCACCCACCCCCAAAGAATACACAAGAACAAAGGTAGTAAATAAAACTTTATTTACTGTCACCAGGTTTTGAATTTTTAGAAAACATGACATGCCAGCACACCTGCACCTTACAAGGTAGACATTGTGGGGTTTCTCGGCACTCTGACCAAAAATGTTGCTTATCCCTGTGCTAGGGCGACATGTCTTGCAGGTCTCTCTCATGTTGGGCCAAACCAGTTGTATGATTTCCTTGCTGCCCTTACTACTCCAAGTGGTTTCATGCTTTTCTAAACACAAAGAGCAAAATGTGCTTTTTAATTCAGACTGTTATGCTCTTTTTAGTTTGAGGAAGTACAGAAATGGAGGAAAAAAAACACGAAGTCTCCACTAAGGAGAGCAGGAGGGACGCAAAAAGATGTGCGGAATAGTATTAACATTCTGTGCCCACTGAGACCAATAAAACAGCAGCTGCTTTGCCCTGACCCTGGCACCTAGCAGGAAGACCCCTTTGCATCTGAAGGCATGCCACTCAGCAAAAATAGAATGACATCTGCTTTCATTTACAGAGCTCCATACACCACACCAAGCCCCTACTAATCCGTACCTTCCTGTGATGTCACTGAACACAACATGCCTCTTAGTGTATGATCTAGTAGTTAGGCAGTGCAACCTAGGGAAACCAATGAACTGGGTGGGATTACTTTACTGCAAAGAGAGCTAGAAATTAAACTTCCTGTATTATCACAGGCATCTTCTAACAGTGTAAATTAAGGCCAATGATACTAGAAAGAGGCAAGGGGAGTGACTTCAGAATTGCTGACAGGCATCTTTGATGAGAGAGACAAGAAGGAGGAAGAGGTTATGGAAACACTTAAAAACAAAAGAGAAAATAAAGGAAGGAACTAAGAGTTAATGTGTTAGCAGAGAAAGAGAGGTTAATGTAGGAAAGGAGCAAAATTATATACTGAGCAAGAGAGTGTGACAGCTTTGTGAAAGGTGAAGACAGACATTTTGTAAACTTGCAGTGAATGATCTCTACCAGAAACACACAATGGGACACAGACTATTTTTACAACTACAGCACTGGACTTAAATATCCTAGCTGCAGGTACAGTGTGCTTTTAATTTCTAATTTCAAACCAAACATAAACTATTGGTAGTCCAAAAGGTGATCTCCGAAATTGGGTGAAAGGAAAATTCTGAGAGATCCTGAAGGCACATGTAAGAATTAAAAAGAAAATTGGGAGCAAAAGCTATTGAATACTGGAAAGATCTAGGCTACTAGGCTAGCAAAATTTTACCTTTAAATGGTTTTAAAGAAGTCTAGCCAGTCTCAGGTCATGTCTACACTGGAAAAATACATCACGTTACTGTAACCCTATTCTGCCTGCGTGAGGTTTTCTTCGGCTACCTGCAGTGAAGTAGTGTCTTGTCTCCACTAGGATTTTACAGCAAGACAATGATCTCAAGTTAGCTATCTTGGTGTTAAAACAACCCTGGCTTTTGCAGTGAAGTCACAGTCTAAATTAAATATGACTTAGCGCCTAGCCCAAGGAAGAACAAGTTCCATTTTAAAATGTGTTAGCTAACTGTGGTTACCTTAAAATCCCTCGGCCACATTCTTGCAAGCACTGTAGGAATGTGCCTTTATCAGGGATTTAATTAAGAAGGTAGCACTCCTGCAGTCCATTTTTGGAAAGATGTTGAATCCATGTGTAAGCAGTCCATCCTGGATTTGGTTTTCAGAGAAGCCAACAGATAGGACAGCAAAGCTGACCTTTGATAATGAGGATAATGGAACGTGATGAGACAAAGGTGGGTTTCAAAGGAAACAGTTACATGGGCTAAACGTGAACTGCCTTGAATATCACACAAAATGGTTTACAACTGGTATAAGTTCCAGCAACTATTCCTGCCTTGTGGGGTCTTTTTTCAACTTCATTAATAACAATTTGTTGGTGAAATGTTTTTGAGATCTTTGGCTGAACGACTACTTAGAAACAACACAATAGTGAGCCTGCACTTGAAATTCTGTCTACCCTGGCAAAACATATCCCATTAGAGAGCATTAGCACATCTTAAAATGATGTGAACATTTTAATCTTGGCTCTTTCTGTTAGTGTGGACAAGATCAAGGTTGGAAAATGTGGTAATTGGTTCTGGTTAATCACTGTGTTGAAGAAAACCCTTTTCCTTGGCCCATAAACTCAGGTTGTTCCTTCCTAAACTCAAGCCACTTACCTAATTTTGTTGAGCAGTTCATTCAAGAGACAGAAATTAAATAGGTCAGTACATGACTTTGCTAGTTTTTTTGAGTGTTGTGGAAAATGTGCCATCTGAAGGGAATTAAATAAAAAGAGCCTAGATGCCTCACAAAGCAGCTCAGAAAGTAGATGGGGCTGAAGCTAGAATTAGTGGGGGGAAAGAGGGAATACAAGAGGGACTGAATTAAGAGGGGATCATATTTATTGTATGTATTATAGATTTTTAAATGCTTTACTATCCAACAGCGCAGTAACTATGAAACCACATAACTAGCATCAGGTTGACAATTTTGCTTGTGATCCCACCCTTTGTAAATGAGATGTGTCCAGTTAGAGGGAAGGAGAATAAGAATTAAGAAAAAAAATGTTGCATCAAGACCTGCAAAAGAAACACAGAGAGCCGAGCATAGCACTTAATCAAGTCAATCCCACACACAATTCTGGAGCCCTTCATTGTAGGGGCTGTAGATCTGTATTTCAAGCAGCTGAAAATACAAACCAAAAAACTGGGAAGGCAGTTTTGCTAGGTAAACAAATGTAGAGGATTAACATTGAGTGCCGTGGACATGATTTACCTAAACTGCACCTTTAGACAATTCCATGTGGCTTAGTCTCACAGGCTCTTTCTCTTTTCATTAGGCTTTAATTGATCTGAGTGTCACAGTCTACTCTGCACCAGCCTGCAGCTTTCAGGTAATGAAACACAGTAAATACAGGGAAGCACTGCTCAAAGGAAAAATGTAGCAGGCATATAGTGATGTATTTTGATGCCACAAGAGAAAATAAAGATAGAGTCAATGAACAATACTCAGGTAAAGCAATACCTAATATTCTTTGGTGTGTTTTAGGGGAAAAAGCTTTGCCTTATGGATTTTCAGGAACTGGCATCTCCTTCAATTGTTGCAGCTTTGCTTATCCTCAGGCTAGGTTCACTTCATGAGGATACTCTGAAGGTCAACATGATCTATTTTGATACTGTGATATCAAAGCACTGCATAAAATAAAGGGACCTGAGTCTTCTTATCCTTACTTAAGGATGGAGTCAACAGAAAACCAGTTGAGATCAAGATCCAGCCAAAGGAGTAGATAAATCCACTGTATAAAAACATGTTATGCCAGCAAAACCCGAATTATCACATTGCCCCCATCAGACAGCATTTATTGGAGGATGGTCTGAGTAAAGGTTGATTACCAATCTATTTGACCCAGCAAGCTACCAACAACACAATGTCTTCATATACCCAGCATCCGGTTAACCTGCCTCAACATTAGACAAGAACACAGCATGGAGGATTAGGCACTCAAAGAACAAATGCCAGCAGTTATCAACCTGTATCAGTGTAAAAAAAAGGAAAAACCTAGCAGCAGCATATTTATACACAAGTAATTGTGCTCTACTTTCTTTCTACAATGTATCCACCTTAAGTAAGGCAATTGGTATGGAGAACTCCATAGCTACCAACTGTGCATATCTGGGACAGAGATAATACAGAGTCAGACATTAAGATTTATTTTGGGGAAGAAGAAAGAAAAGTGGATAATCTCCCCCTGTGACAATGTGAACAAAGGAATACTATCATTCACCAGTGCTACTCGCTGCTTTTTCTACCCCTTCCTACACAAATAATTTAAAGTGAGAGTTCTATACATAGAATAACCTTCTTAGGTCTATATTCCTTTCATGCTTTTAGAAGTGAGCTGCTCTTAGGATTTTTTTTTCTGGGTCTCCTAATTCCAGCATCAACCACAGTTATCCATGCCCTCTGTAACGATTTTTCATTTCATTATTCCAGGTATACTTTCACTTTGTACACCATGAGTATTGCAAATAAGACATTGCAGAAGCTATGCTTTAAATACTTAAAAGTGTTGTAGACATTAGGTAGAGAAAAGAAAGTTCCATTTTGTAGATGAGAGTATTCTTCCAGGACTCAGATGTGGAGATGGAACTGCTCTATCTCACGAAGAACATCAAAGCTACTGAGCATCTTGCAAACCTTCTAGTGCTGCATCACATAGGTCAAAACTACTCTCAAAGCTAGTTCATGTTTCAGAACTGAATAGGACTGAGAAATTAGAATGGAAGGCTGCAAGATATTTAGGTGCAATTATATTTAGTGCTAATAGATATTGGCTAACTTTTGGAAGGGTTTCATTCTTGAAATTCAGAAGGAACAGTTATTCTATGTTGCCTATAGCATTTCATAACCTACCTTTATATCTACTTCATACCTGGAGTTCAACCTCCACAGAGGAGGAGCAAAGAGATTGAGTTAAGGTCTGTAATGTTTTTAAGCTGAGCTGTTGCAGTTATCAGCTCTCCCTGATATCAAGGACATTTGGTATTTGTTCCCACCACACAACTTACAATATAA